AGGCTATAGAGACAGCGCCAGACAATTAAGTAAGTCATTTGTAGGCTTTAGTGAGGAAGTCGGTTCAAAGTGACCAAAGCCAGTAGTGTAGTCAACGTCATAAAAACGGAGACTTAAAATGCTACGGAATTTTGACAATAACTCACAACGAGGGAGGGTGGGGACATGATGGTGGACCCTTCTGTGCTGCACCGATGCTCACTGCTCAGAGCACCGCAGAGATTGCAAACACTCTCAAGGTCCAGGATGAGCTGTGAGTCATCTATTTTCCTCAGAGACAGGCATTCCAGCTTTGCCTGCGTTTTCTGTGATGTGCAGCTCAACTAACAGATGCTGGTGCCACTTCCGGCAGGGGGAGGTGTGGATGAGCAGTAAAAACTCAACAACCCACTGACGACAACACGCTCAGGAAATGTGGAATAGATGACCGCTTCCTAATCTAATGTAGGACATCTGTGAGAAAGCTACAGCAAACAGCACGTGCGATGCGGAACAATGGGCACATTCCCTCCAACACAGGAAGCAAAGCGAGGGTCCGCTCTCGCCACCGCTCTTCAGCATCACGCTGGAAGGGGGCAAAAGCAGGGACCTCTCTTTGTTCCCTGTGTTGGAGGGAACGTGCCCAATGCTGATTTAAAAAGGCATAGATTGGAAAAGAAGAAGTAAAAATGCCTTTATTTGTAGAGAACACGATCATCAATGTAGAAAATCTTAAATAATCTACAAAAAATCTAGTAGAAGAATATATGAGTGTGGCATGTTTCCAGCATACAAGATCAGTGTACACATATCGGTTATATTTTATGTACTATCAAAGAACAGTTGCAATATTAAGCATTGCATTTATATTAGCATCAAAAATACTATAAATACATGTACACATGCTCCGATGTGTACACTTAAAACCTCAGAACAATGCTGAGAGAAAGTAATGAAGACCTACATAAATGGAGAGAGGTACCATGCCCACGGATCAGAAAAATCAATAGCTTAGTGAAGACGTCAGTTGTACCCAAATTGCTATATAGATGTGATGCAACACCTCAGCAGGATTTTGTTTCTTTGGAAATTGACAAGCTGATTCTAAAAGTCATATGAAATGAAAAGAATGTTAATTAATCAAAACAATTTTGAAAAAGAACAACATTACAGAATTTACACCCCCTGATTTGAAGATTCACTATAAAACTACAGAAATGAACACAGTGTGATACTGGCCAAAGAACAGCCACAGTGATCAATGGAACAGAATAGATAGTCCAAAACTAAGCCCACGTGATGTAAGTATTGGACAAAAATGCCAGAATAATTCAATGGAAAACGAAGAATCTTGTATAAAAATCAGATACCCATATGAAAAATAAGGAACATTAACCCTTACCTCAGACACATACAAAAATTAACTGAAGGAAACCAGCGGTCTAAATGTAAGAGATAACACCATAAACCACGTAAAAAATACAGGACAAAAATCTTTATGGTTTTGGATTGGGGAAATATTTTTAAGCAGCACACAAAAAGCATGAACCGTAAAATTAAATTGTGGTAGACTGAACTTCATCAAAACTCAAAACTTTTGCTTTTCAAAGGCCATAGTAAAAGAATAAAAGTCACAGACTTTATTCTGATAGCGGTGTTCCATTCCTAATACATAAAGAACACTTACAACCTAATATTAAAAAGAAATTCAATTCAGTAGTCATTGGGAAATGCAAATGAAAATCACAAGGAGTCTGCACTACACACCCACTAATGACCAAACTTAAGAAGGATGGCAATCCTGAGTGCTGGTAGGACCGGGTGCAAGGGAGCCCTGGGCAGATCCCAAGTCCCTGGAGGGTGATTCAGACAGCACAGTGGCCAGAGCCAGGCTCTGGGCCCGGGACCCAGCGGGCCACAGGAGGAAGCCCAGTGGGTTCCTCAGGACATCATGGGCAGCTCCGTGAGGCTTGGAGGGTCAGCTCCCTTACTCAACCTGCTGACTGATTACTGCTGTCACAGTAATTACTCATCACAGGCCACTCCGTAGTTTCCAGCATCAGAAGCATATGTAAGACGTGAGGGCCCCAACCTCAGTGGACCTCGGGTATCTGCCTTCCCCACCACTCACTTGCTTAAGGTTCCCAAAAATTACCTAGAGATGTGTTAAGAGCAGTGAGCGTTTGGTGTGTATACTCGGAAAATGTCTTCTTCGCTCCCCAGCCCTCTAAAGGCCCTGCTGTACATTCACAGGGGTCTCCAGGACGGGGGCTGCGGAGGAAGGGGCTCGGGGTTCCTCCCACTCAGGCGACTCCTCTCCCTGAGTGTGGACCACGGAGCCTGGGCTGTGCTGGCAAGCGCAGAAGGATGGCAGACAGGTGCCAGACAAAGGGATTCAGAGGTAAAAACAGACACAAATGCGGCGAGAGAGGGATCATGTAATTCACAGTCCAGTGGGGAGGAGAGATCAGAGAAGGAAAGTCATCACTCAATGTGGCAAGCGCTGGAAGAGTAGTCCCGAGGCAAAGAAGGAGGACAGAGGCAGGAGGGATTCACTCACAAGAAGGGCCTCAGGGGATGGGGTGAAGGCCTGGCAGCAGTCCTAGAGGGAGACGCCCCGTGCTGTCAGGGGGCTGGGGGAGCGGCACAGGGGAGAGAAAGCGGTGAGAGACCAGAGGAGGGTCACCTGCCCGAAAGGTTGGCTCAAGTCCCCACAGAGCTTCCCATTACTCGCCCTACAACATAAAACTGGTACAAATGAATAAAAATTATGTAGATAACTAACCTTTATATTCTCCTTTCATTAAAGTAATTTCATAATAGACTAGTAATATACTTGGAAATCAACTCTGTGATGTCATTTCCCACAGCTTCCAAACGCCTCCATCATAAAAGGTCCACACTGAGGGAAACACTTTCATCAATTCGACGTCCAAGCTCTTTATTATGGCAAAATTCTAATTAATTGTGAGTCTAAGAGAAAGCTGTTTGCACACAAAATTAAAGGAAGCAGTTATAACTTTCATAGTCACTTTAACGTACTTTTGTATTCACGAAAGCACCCATCTCAAAGCTGCTTGAACTTTGGAAAGCTCTATGATCACTTCATGCACAGCACAAATTCAGCCCAGTTTTTGATTATTCTATTACTGATTGATTTGATATGAGGTAACTGTTCAGGCCTAATTGCCTCTCTTGGAAAAAGCCCTTGGGACGCAATGCTGCATCTCCTCCACACAAGCAACAAAATCTATGGACAGAAATTACAACCGGCTCTGAGATGCACTCAGCAGACTCTATCAGGCCCACAGCTCGCTCTAAGGTCTACAAATATTAAGTTCAGAATGTCACAAGGATGTAGAGAACGCTCTGAGGTTTGCCAGTATGTGGACAAAAGAAGCCCCTAGTAAATACCCGCTTTCCCTGAGAAAGGTTTGCAAGACCATATGGTGAGGCCAGTTCCACAATGCTCTCAGAGACATGGGAGAGACGCTATGGTGAATTTGTAAAGTTTTGGCTAAAAGAATAACATAGAAGAAAGACCGGGGGGAAGGGGAGCTGGGAGTAGGACGCGTCACCAAGGTTTCTCGGCAGGTGCGGGATCTCTGCTGCTAGAACAGATCTGACTTCTAATCAGCCTTCTGTGGCACTGCCCTTCCATTAGCTTTTCCACTTTAAGGGAACACACATGGCGGGGCCCAGGCCTGAAGCTTATGAAGGAAGAATGGATTTGCTCCCCAAAGGTGCTCGAGAAGCTTCCAGTGCATGAGGTCTGCCCAGACGCCTGAACTCGCCCAGAGAGGAGGTTGCTCCCCAGACACGCCAGCAGGGAGTCTGTTCAGCACACCTGGTAGGGACGGGAGCGGCCTGTGGCTCCCCTTATTAGCCCCGGACAGCCATGCTTTGGGCTGCTTGCCTTTCTAACGAGCACCCCAACAATCTCTAAGGACTAAATATTTGCCACGGCTCTGGCATCTGACAGATCACTAAGGTCTCGCAGCGCGTGTATCAGAATACATCCATCCCCATTTGTCCCCTACAGTCCTATTAGAAACGCCGCACCTGCCGGACAAGGGCATGAACAGGAATACCGCTTAACCGTTAACTGTTGCAATCTCACATTCACTATCACTTCATATTAGTTAACAGTTCTCAGGGAATTTGCTTCAGGATCATACAGTGCCTGCCTGCCTTCCCCAAGCATCCTCGACCCTGGATTCAAGCAGCACCCCAGTCCTCCATTCAACAAACAAATGAAACAAGGAAAGAGAATCAGAGACCTCATGTGGGGTTGTTACATACGGTTGGCAGAATTTTTCTGCTTTCAGTTTAACAATGACAGTACACACGCTATAGAATAATTTGTATTCAAAAGCATTTTGCCTTCTGAAGCGAAACAAGTGACATGTGGGAGAATATTGTAGGTTTTTTGCTCCTGGCTGAGCTGACCCATGTTATCGCTGTCTTAATTCAAAGAGGGTGTTTCATCTGTGTTAAGAGCAGAAAGTCCTTTCATAGTAAAGACGTAAGGGCTAGCCTTTGCAGTCAAAGAACCTGTCTTTCAAATAAGTAGAAGATCCATTTTACTGGGATATTTTCCAGAAAAGCAAGGTCAGGCTGTATCCCAGAGCTAGTGTCAGCTGTCAGCTCGTCTTTATTTGGGAGGTTGCCTCTTTAACAAGCTGAAAAGTTGCCAGGGACTCTCCCCAGACTCCACGGACAGCCTCCAGCCCCACCTCAAGAATGAATGGGGGGGCGGGGAACTACTCCAAGCGCCTCTTGCTCTCTGTAGCATCACCAAAAACTTGAAGATATCCTGTGGCAGACTCCCTCCTGGCAAAAGGACTGGCAACCTGAGAGCGAGCCCCTCACCCTCCCGCACCCGCAAAGCCGTCGTCTGGACCACACGTGCTCATTCCTGCAACCCCCGGGCTCCCAGACCTCGCTGAGGATCTGAAGCCTCCCTGGTGTCGCGCTCACCACCCAAGACATCCCCACAGAATTCAGCCCTGAGGACTCACGGTGCATCTCATGAAAGGGGTTGTGAACTCGAGCCAGCCACACCTGGGGGGGGGGTCACCCGCCGACGTCACAGTCGGAACGCGGTCTCAGCGCGCCTGGCCGGCCCTCCCAGAGAGACAGTGCCGGCCGGCCCGGGAGCCAATCAGCTGCCGCCCAGGCGTTGCCATGGCCACGTCGTCCGGTTAGGACCACGCCCACCCCAGCTCGGAGCCAATCGGCGGCCGCCAAGCCGTTGCCATGGCCACGTCGCGAGTTAGGACCGCGCACGCGCACAGGGGAGACTCGCCGGCAGCCCCCGGCCCAGGCCTCGCGAGGGTCCCGGCAGCCGCCCCACTGGACACGGGCCGCGGCCCGGTTCCCTGAGCGGCCGGCATGAACCGCAAGAAGCTGCAGAAGCTGACGGACTCCTTAACTAAAAATTGCAAGCACTGTAAGTAAGAATCAGGTGCCGGGTGTGCAGAGGCTCCTGGGCCAGGTCCTGTCCTGCCCGGTGCTGCTGTCCCGCCTGCAGAGCCCGAGCGCAGTCGGAGCCCTCTCCACGCCCGACCCTAAAGAGGAGTCTGGAAGGGAACACCAACATCAGCTCCTTGGGGCGGGCACCCCCGGCGCCCATGATATTAAGGCACATTTCCAGGTATCCAGGTATCTAGTGCTGTACCCGCACACACGCACACACTTGCTTCTCAAACCTTCTCTTAACTTACCCTTACGTTATAGAAACGTGATTTATATACCCTGGAGACACATGTGGATTTAGCTTCAGACACAGGTGGAAAACAAGCACTAAAAACCACCGAACTCAAGAAAAGTAGCCCAACCAACAGCTCTTCTTAGAGCAAATCAACTGGCAAGGTCCAAGTTTTGGGAATTACCAAGAGACCTATAAGAGAAAATGGTTATCAGTGGTTGAACATCCTTAGGACAGACACGGTGAAGTGACCCAGAAACCTATATCTCAGAGCAAGGAAATGTGCCTGGAATCCAAGGAGCTCAACAAAGCTAAACACACAGTAAAGGATCTGTTCCCAACTCTAGACCCAACTTTCCAGCAAAGTGAAGGATTAGACTTGGCAGGTGGCAAGATGGACACCTATTGAAGACATCTGCTCCCATCTCACACATAGTCTGAAAAGTGGTCCTAGAATTTCACAGGTAACTTTAGAATTATATTCAGACTGAAAAACAGGACTGTGCTTGGGCAAGGAAGCTATGGATATGGCTTAGATGAGGGAGATATCTGACGAGCAATCTTAGAAGTTGAGTGCTTATTGCAAAACTACTGCCCCTTTGAAAAAAATAGAAGCCATAACCCCAAGACTACTCCCACTGTGCAAAAAAAGAACAAACATGTTTTGATGTAGTCCTAGAGATTATGGGATCTAGTGCCTTCTAATCATACTTAGTATCTTAGGATGAGTGGTAGGAAATCCTGTCAGGATGGTGCTGGAAATAAAAGTTAGGCTGTGAATGAGCATCTTAAACGTCTAAAAAAAGTCATCCTATAATTTAAGATATTATCATGGTTATTACAATCTGATGAGAGTTTTGTTGTGTTGTTTTTCTTAAAATACTTTCATTTCTGGGAAGAGGCCAGATCTTAAACATCTAGTAAACATTTTAAATAAACAGTGCAATAACTGCTATACACAACGAACACTGAATTTGATTTAGTTCCTGTTCAAGTGAGTTTGCAATGTATTGCAGATATTCTGTGAACATATTAAAAGATGTGAGGGCTTCCCTGGTGGCTCAGTGGTTAAGAATCTGCCTGCCAATGCAGGCGACACTGGTTCAAGCCCTGGTCCGGGAAGATCCCACATGCTGCGGAGCAACTAAGCCCGTGCGCCACAACTACTGAGCCTGCGCTCTAGAGCCTGCGAGCCACAACTACTGAGCCCTCGCGCCGTGACTACTGAAGCCCGCGCACCTAGAGCCCGTGCTCCGCAACAAGAGAATCCACTGAAATGAGAAGCCCGTGCACTGCAACGAAGAGTAGCCCCTGCTCGCCGCAACTAGAGAAAGCCTGTGCGCAGCAACGAAGACCCAACGCAGCCAAAAATAAAATAAATAAAATAAATTTATAAAAGGGAAAGATAAGTGAAAACACGGCAAGAAAACCAGTCAACTCTTTTGATTTTTGTCCTACATAAAAATTTTAAAGTGAACCTTAAGAACCTTGATGATTACCAGTTAAATTCTATAGAAATAGTGACTAATCATGGGCATTATAATAATTTTGAGTTTCTTTAAACAGAGGACCTTTCTTCTAAAGTCATATTTCCTTTTAGTTGCCAGGTGATAATCCCACCAAGATGAAATGGGTAGATTTTGTAGAATCAAAGAAGAAAGTATCTTAAATGTGTGTCTAGTTAACCCACCATTCTGCAGATCTGATCTGCACAGCAGACTTACACCAATCCAAAAAGATGAAAATCCATCCTCGAATTTCCTTAATTTCATTTACTATTCTTTTTTTCCCAATATTTATTTATTTATTTGGCTGCGCTTGGTCTTAGTTGCGGCACGTGGATCTTTTAGTTGCGGCATGATATAAGAAACATTTCAGCAAGAGAATTTTTCCTATGGAAAAATTACCCATCTTGGATCTTTTGGGGAATAAATTAAGCTAATACTCTTTCATTTTTATTTCAGCTGAGATGGGAAAATGGCTAATCAACATCCCCTCAGCTAGCATTTCATATATGTGATCAGACTGCATCATTCTTCATGCAAAGTTTTCTTCCCCAACCATTAACATCACTTTTTATTTTTAGAGTTTTTTATTGTGGTTAAATAGACATAACATAAAATTTACCATTTTAATTATTTTGAGTGCACCGCTCAGTGGCACTAAGTACATTCACGTTGTGCGGCTGTCACCACCATCCATCTCCAGAACTTTCTCATCTTTCCAGCTGAAACTCTGTCCCCATTAAACTGTTGCTCCCCACTTCCCCCTCCCGCGGCCCCTGGCACCCACCGTCTACTTTTTGTCTCTATGAATTTCACCACTCTGGGTACATCATATAAGAGAAATCAAATAATATTTGTCCTTTTTCGTCTGGCTTGTTTCACTCAGCATGATGTAGTCAGGAGTCAGGCAGGTTGTAGCATGAGTCACGATTTCCTCCCTTTTTAATGCTGAATCATGGTCCATTGTATGGATGGACCACATCTTATTCATCCACTCATCCACCCATGGACACCTGGATTGCTCCCACCTTCTGGCTGTTGTGACGACTGCTGCTATGAATAATGGTGTACAAGTATCAGAGTCCCTGCTTTCAATCCTTTGGGGCAAATACCCAGAAGTGGAATCACTGGATTATGTAGTATTTCTATGTGTGATTTTTTTTTTTTGAAGAAGTGACATACCATTCATACCGTTTTCTGTGGCAAGTAAAGGCTCTTTTTAAAATTATAACCATTACATTATTTTCTACTATTTATCACTTTATTTACTAAATCATTTGTTTTCCAATGTTTTCAATGTTCGTCTTAAATTGTGGCACCCCAAACTGGAAATCGCTCTCAAGCCTATCCTGGCCTGCAAGATGAGGTGGGATTTATCCATTTCTTTGGGCTGTTTTCCTTTACATGCACACAGCTTCCGTCCTTGTTTTTAAAAATACTCAACCTTAATTTTGTCTTGTTTTGAAATAAGATTTTCCCCATCTTCCACCTTTACCTCATATTGAAACTCACCTTTATGTTCTAATGCCAGACACTAATCCTTCCACCTACACACCTCGGACAGCGATGGGGACACAATTAGCTCAGTGTTAACAGCACCACCCTCTATGCAGTTGTGTGTATGCAAGCATGCATGTGTGTGCACACCCTTTAGACAAAAAAGTCCTTCCTCCAAAGTGCTGCTGCATGGCTGCCTGTTAATTTCCATCCCTCACAGCGAGAACCTTCCTGGGTGCTAGAATATGCTTAACTCCTTCCTTATTGGAAAATAGGCGACTCTGATTTCCAAAACCTGGCTCACGGCTTCACGAAGGCTAATGTGAGATGAAAGTTGTTGCCTGGTTTGGGGGAGGCTGGTATCTATTTCCAGGGAAAAGTTAAACTGTAAATCTCACGAATGCCTATAATCAAAATGCTGGGGGAAAGTTACCATTTTTAACATCACCATGGTTACTTAGAATCAGACCCCACAATCCGCATTCAGGTGACCTGGCTAATATTATCGTCCTTTTGCTAACTGTGACTCTGCACTTACATCTGTTTGGAGGGACGGCTGCTGCCCTTACTTCAGTGGGAACTTCTGGGTAGTGACCATCCTCTGGCAACTTGAGGGTCATGAATCTCAAAAGAGGATCGTCTCCTGTTGACAGCTGCCCATTCATGATTCCAGTGTTGCTTGTCTACAAAACTCATTTGTGCAAAGTTTAAGTTGGACATTAAAGATTAAAAGGCGTTTTTGTTACATCTCAATTTCATTCTTTCACAGTTAATAAATTTGAAGTGAAATGCCTTATCAATCTTTTCTGTAACTTGGTGGGTGATGTGACAGAGCGGCAGGGTTTGGCCGTCGGGCTGGATCGGAACGCCTTTCGGAACATCCTGCACGTGACATTTGGGATGACAGACGACATGATCATGGACAGAGGTGAGCGGACGTCAGTGTCTAGACGGGCCAAATCCAGCCATAACTGGGAAAAACAGTTTGGAGTCTGGACAAACTCTGGGCGTGAAGCTTCACGTTCTGTGTTCCCAAATCCATTTGAACATAAAAGTTTAATTTTTATATTCATAGGGAAGCATGGTAGGGAAGAAGGTAGCGACCACTCTTTCTGTGGATTTAGGAAGAGGACAAAGTCAACTTGAATAACTAGGTTTCCTTTCTTTACATCAGAAAACCCAAGCTATTTATATTTCTACTTAGTAAATAGAACAATAAATAATCGTTTTAAAAGGACATTTAAATGTCCTTACATCATCAAGAGTATTCCAATAAAAGTTAATATAAAATCTTATCTATCATGTAATAGCAGTACTTTTCTTGGGTAACAAAATATAAAATTATATGTTTTATGTTAATATATCAACAAATTTAATGTACCTATATGTGTATATGTTCACTGTTGATTCATGTATTTAGCTATTCAGAATTGTTCCCACAAAGTATGAAGGGAAATGTGAATGCTTAAGTAAAAGAGTTTTCCGATGTTACGACATCTTAGTTTCCTCGTTTATCAAATGAGAACATGGGACCATATGGGCGTGAGGTTTCGCCTAAATTTCAGGAGTGCATAGCCCCGTGCGGGTCCATCACCGAGAATAGAAACGCAGCACAAGTGTCATATTTTTTATGTCTCTCTTTTTTTTTTAGTATTCCGAGCATTTGACAAAGACAATGATGGTTGCATAACTGTATCAGAGTGGGTTTATGGATTATCAGTGTTTCTTCGAGGAACTCTGGAAGAGAAAATGAAATGTAAGACTTCATGTTATCCTATTGGTTTGCACTTTATGATAAGTACCTCGAAAGAGTGAAAATCATCAATGTCTTCCAGCCCAGCCAGTGGGGTGGGTTTGTGTGTTGTTAGCTTGGTGTGAATTCCCATCAGCCTCTTTTATGGAGCAAATTCACATCAATAATAAGGGTTGAAAAAAATTAATAAAAAGGCAAATCAAGAAGTTCTGAGGCGGAATCCATGCCAAGCAGACCGCACAGGCGGGTGGTGCACGTGCGGACCACGTATGCATGCGTTTACGTATGAAGGTGGTAAGTGCTTTACATATTTTGTTACTCAAATTGTCATCATACAACATTGATTCAAGTTTCTGATTCTTAGTTAATTCCTAATTCATCCCAATGAACTCTGTTTAAGAGGCGCATTTCAATCCGTTTTCCAAGGTTTTCACGACGAGAATGTTAAGTCGTTGCTCCTTGGCCTGCTCTTTGAAGCTAAGTGCAGGAAACTTTCTAAGGATTGTTGAGTATATTCAGTAAGCGGACATCAGGCATTTGTTAGGGGAATTGATTGCACGGAGGCCCGAGGCTTGATGTAAACACCACTGGAGCCCTGGGCCTTGAACACCATCAGAGCAAAGGCTGCCTTCCTGGCCGCAGCACATTCGTACCGGTTCTTTCTTGAAGATTGCTTTGACGTGTTTGACTTGAACGGTGACGGCTTCATCTCGAAGGAGGAGATGTTCCACATGCTGAAGGATAGCCTCCTGAAGCAGCCGTCCGAGGAGGACCCCGACGAAGGGATCAAAGACCTGGTGGAAATAACCCTGAAGAAAATGGTACGATGGGTAATTTAGAGTTTTCTCGTGAAATCCACAGATGTGGGGTAGAAATAAGAACTCAAATTAGAGTAAGTCTCAGTTTCCTGCCTGGTGAAAGACAGCACTCGGACTGTGCTCTTTTATCATAATATGACAGCTCCTTTCAATTTCAGTACTTAGCCTCATACTTTTCTGACGTCTTCTTTGTGAACGCTGGGCCATGAGAAGACAGTGTGTGTTTGTGATGTGTTTTCCATGTTAACTGTGGTGTGGCCGGTCGCCCCCAGGACCACGACCACGACGGGAAGCTGTCCTTCGCAGACTATGAACAGGCTGTGAGGGAGGAGACTCTTCTGCTGGAAGCGTTTGGACCGTGTCTTCCTGACCCAAAGGTAACGGCACTACGTTCACAGAACAGTGACCAAAATGTCATGTAGGGGGCTTCCCTGGTGGCACAGTGGTTGAGAGTCCGCCTGCCGATGCAGGGGACGCGGGTTTGTGCCCTGGTCTGGGAAGATCCCACATGCCGCGGAGCGGCTGAGCCCGTGAGCCATGGCCGCTGAGCCTGCGCGTCCAGAGCCTGTGCTCCGCAACGGGAGAGGCCACAGCAGGGAGAGGACCCCGTACCGCAAAAAAAAAAAAAAAAAAAAGGGGAAAGGGAAAAGGCGGCAGGGAGATGGGGGTATGGCTGGAGGGACAAGGAAGTGTCCCCGGGTCTTTGCGGACACAGCGGTCAGCCGGGAAGAAGGGCCCAAGCAGAGAGAATGACACACATGAGCGAGGGAAGCGGGGGACACAGAGGAACCTGTATTAGGTTCATGAGACTGTTGATGAAGCCGGAAGACACAGAGGGCGAAGTCCATGGAGCTCGGAGCTGGATTTTGTCTTGAAGATCACGAGGATTTGTTGGAAGATTTTAGGCAGGTGGAGGGATGTGATATATAAATATTACCCTAACCCACCCACCCCAGTCTCTAGTCTGTATCTCCAGCTGCCTTCTCAACATACGGAGTAGATGATCTCAATAAACTCTCGATTTTTCCCCCAAACTTGCCCCTCCCCCAGTCTTCCCTAACTCAATAAATGACACCCCCCCCCCCCTCACTCAGGTGTTCAGTCAAAACCCTAGGAGTCATCCTTAACCTCTCTCGTAACACTTTTCGCTACTCTTTCAAAATAAACCCTTGAATATAACCTCTTCTCCCACGTCTGTTGGCCACCAGCCCCCATCCAGTCGCTGTCATCAGTCACCCAGCCCAGGTCACGCTTCCGCTGCTGTCCCCCTACTGACTGCCCTCCACAATATCCAGGATATGCAAAAACACAAAGGCTCTCAGGCCCCTCTGTGCTCGAGCCCCTCCCCGGCGGGCCCTGAAGTCTGCACGAGGCCCCTTTCTCTCTTTCCAGCCACGTCTCCTGCTGTGTCCTGTCCTCTCTTCCCCTGGAGGCCCCCCGGCCACCTGCCCTGCCTCCCTGGTGCCCTTGTGCTCGCCATGACCTCTGTCCAGAACGTTCCCCCCAGACCTCGCCTCGTTCAGTCTCTGCTCAGATGCTGTTGATCATCTTAACTTCTCCTCCCCTCCATCCCCGACCCTGCTTCTTTCTCTTCACAGTTCTTATCGTCACACAGAATATATTTACTCACTTATTGTCTGTCTCGACATGTAGATGTAAGGTCCCTAAAGCAGGAACTTGGGAGGTTTTCACCATATTTCCTGACATGTAGTGTGTAGCACATGGTGGGCCCCTAGTAAATGTTGAGTGGATGGATGGATGGATGGATGGACGGGTGGATGGATGGACGGGTGGGTGGATGGGTGGACGGGTGGATAGTTGGATGGACGGGTGGGTGGATGGATGGGTGGAGAGATCTCAGAAGTGCCTGATGGAGAGTCCTGGATCTATGTCCTTCCATCTCCTCAGAAACTCCATCATTTACCTTCATCTTTACCCTACATCTTCAACCTCCTTCCTCACTACTAAAACCTTCCCATCAGAATTTAAACAGACCTAAACCTGTCACATGTGACAAACAAAAGGGAAGGAAGGGAGGGAGGGAGGGAAGAAAAGGAGAGAACTTCCCCTAATTCCACACCTGCTTCTATTTCCTGTCCAAGGCTTGTTTTGTCACAGCCAAGCGTCTTGGAAGAATTGTCCATATTTATGACCTACACAACCATCGCTTCTTCCCGTCCCCTCTTGCAACTGCTCTTGCCAAGGTCACCCCCGCCTTGTTGAGAAAGCCCAGGCGGTAGGCCCTTGGGTTCTTGTCTCGCTCGACCTCCCGCACCCCCTGCTCTCCATCCAGAGCCTCCGGAGCCAGGAGGCATCTCCCTTTCGTGCTGAGCCCCCTGGACCCCCGATGCGCTCACACTCCTGCAGCCCCCACTGCAGTGAGCTGAGCTCCCGGCTCCTGGCCGAGAGCCTAAGCTCATGGCAGGGGCTCCTGGGAGCCAGGCCATGTGGTCTCGCCCACCCTGTGGGCCCAGAACCAGCGCTGGGCTGGAGCAGAGTCCGCGCCTGCGGGTGAACACACAGCCCCTCCCAGGTCCCCGACCCCACTCCTCCTCGGTCACTGCCTGTCTCTTCGGATGTTAGGAGGCCTAAGGAACATTTTTTGTTTATTTTTTTGAAAGTCTGTACTAATTTGAACACTTTCATTTTGCAGAGCCAGAAAGAATTTGAAGCCCAAGTATTCAAAGATCCAAACGAGTTCAACGAGGTGTGAATTCCTAAATGTCTTGTTGTCTCAAGTGAGTAGAAAAGGAGTCTCATCCGTGTTGTGTATTTTTCCTGCTTAGCTCGGAAGGTGATTGTGAATTGCGTGTTTGGTGAGAGGGGTCAGGGCTGACTAACGTATATCATTCAACTTTGGCGTAAGATGCCACTAAGATAGATGAAGACAAGGGGTTCCTTATTAGCCGTGGTTGGGTTTGGCCAGACGAGTGAACACTGCAGAGACAAGGTATCACCTAGACTGTCTGTTGACACACAACTGTCATAAAATGTTTGTATGAATGAAATGAATAGAGAGACTATATCATCATGAGTTATTTTCCTCACGTCAGAAAGATGCTGGGCACGCGTTTAAAAATCACTGAAACTCTGTGTCTTCCTCCCACCCTCCCTATCCCACGGAGATATATGTATACGTACAGCTGATTCACTCTGTTATAAAGGAGAAGCTAACACACCATTGTAAAGCAATTATACTCCAATAAAGATGTGAAAACAAAATCACTGAAACTACTGAGTTTCCTTTGGAGCAGTAAATAATCAAGATGGCGCCCAGAGCACAATGGTTCTGGCATTTAGCGTTGAAACGTCTTTCTGCTGGGCCCTGAGGGAGACTCAGAGACACGGAGCCTGTTTGCATACGATCTGTGTTACTGTTTTGAGGCGTCTGAGGGCACAGCCCGCTGCCCAGAGCGGCCCTGGGTAAACACCAGGGATGCACAGTACCACGAGGCACCAGGAGGCAAACCCACCTGTGGGTGGGCAGAGGCAAGAAGTGCTCTTCCCTGGATCTGAGGGGTGAGGCCCAGGTGCGGCTCTCAGCTTCCCTCTGGAGTCAGCCGGAGGCCGCCCTTGCCGGCGGATGCGGAGCTCGCTCTCTGTCTGGCTCCGCTGTGTCTCCACCTGGACCCCATTCTTGGTCCCCATCCCCCGCCCTGCCCCTCAGTGCATTCCCCCCACACCTGGGACTCCCCTTGTGCAGCCCCTCGTCTGGGGTCACATCCCAGTGCACCCACTGGCCAGGAAGCCCTGAAGACAGCTCTGCCTTCCCCCTGCCCCCCACTCTCCAGCAGGTGCCCCTGGGCATCAGGTAGCAGCTTGAGAAAGAAGGGCTTATGAGGCTCTTTCCCTGCCGTTCGCATTTGGATATTCCCACATTTTTGCTGTTACAAATACTTCCCGAAATGAACTGTCCTTGTAGATAAATCTCTTCACATGCATCGTCGCTTACTTACTTGGGGTAACTTTGTAGAAGTAGGAATGCTGGCTTTCAGGCCTGCATCATTTTGAGATTTCCAGCACATGTGACCTCACACCCTCCGGGAAGGCCGGCTGGGCCAACGCGTGAGGACAGATCCCGTCCCTGTGCAGCACCGTCTTTTAACTTCTTTGCCAACGCGTGGGCCCTAACTGACCGTGATTTGAACTCATGATGCAAAGAACTAAGGCTTTGTGCCTGTCCCTAAACATCGTGTTGTAGGTTGGGTACAAATTGACTTCCACGTGGATAACCCTGTTTTATTACTTGACTTTATTTAAAACTAAAAAAACCTTGAAAACAATTCTCTGTAACTGTGGTGGAACTGAAGAGGATGCCAGCACCTGAGGGAGAAGCCACAGCCTCCCCGGGCAGCTCAGAGCACGCCCTGCCTCCTGAGCCTCTCTTCAGGATCTGCCCCAGTCGCCTCCCCCTGCACCTTGCTCGAGAGTCCCGGCCTCTCTTCATGCCGCCGCTGTGGTAACTCAGAGGATTTTAGCACCAAGGAGTCACTCGACTCCAGGGCAGCTCATCCGAGCACCCGCGTCCCTCTGAGGACCCCTGTGTCCTCGAGCTCCGCGCTGGGCCCCACTGCTGACCTCCGCCCAGGCTCAGCCCATCCTGCCCGCTCGGCACTGCGCCTGCCTCGGGCAGCGGGGTCGGGCTGCGGGAAGCGGTCATAACCTGGAGAGTTGAACGCAGCCTTCCTCTCACTGGCTCCTCTAAGCGGGGCTTCCCTCCCCTCCCACCAGCCCCCCACGCAGTGGGAGGCCCCTCTGGGGGGCTGCGTGGCCTCCACGCAGCACAGAGAGATTCTGTTTGGGAAACAATCCTTTTGTTTTTCAACTACAGGATTTGAAAGCTATCACTGAAAACTGGTAGTCCTGCATTCTTAACCTGCAAATATCTTTGGGAACAAGATTGCACTTGTGAGAAGTCAAGCCTGCGATTGCCTGCATCATAAAATCATCCAAAACATTCACGAGTCCCACCTCGGGCTAAGCCGGGAAGGGGGTGGTAACCCAGCCTAAGACTAAGTCAGCCCCTGGCCTCACCTGGTCCGCAGTGTCGATGAGGGCTCCGCGCCCTGCGACGCCCCTGCCATCCCCCCAGCACCAGGCATCCCTGCGACAGCCCCTCCCCCCGGCCCAGCACGAGTTATGTCACTGAATGAAAGGAGATCGTTCAAGGGAATCCCCACCGCATACGCTCGGAAACTGTGAAGACAGCCGTGTCTAGAGAAGGTTCCTCCAAGTGCATCTTTCCTGATGTGTTTTCTCACCGCCCCCAACCCTCCCAGTTGTCAAGGTTCACATGCAGCTGCCATAAAAGATACATAACGGAATAGACTTGTCCCCAGACTAGCGTTCGTTACGACACACTGACTGTGCAATCGCCTGGCAATGCCCAGAAAGGGCTGAAGTCGCATGTGTCCCCCACCTCAGGGGCCGCGCTCCATCCAGGTGGAGCACAGGACCTCCTGGAGCGTCGCCAGTCTCGGTCACCCCTGAAGGAGGAGCCGTCCCCCAACACACCTGAGAGCCAGCCAGGAGGTGCCCACTTCCCAGCAAGAGGAGGGGCGGCCGGGCTGGGGACGGGCTGGGGACTCCACATCGCATCCCCACAGGCATGCAGCGCTCAAGGTCCCTGCATCCTAAGCGTGGCTTCCTGTGCCCTGTACCGCCCACCGAATCCGCCAGGAAAACGCTCCTGTCTGTCTCCACTTCCTGCTGCTGGACTCGGCGCCCCTGCGGGAGAGGCTGTCCACCCAGAGGGCATTTGACAAAATTGGGTGGCGTCCAGGTCATCCTGCCCTGGACCTTGTGCACCCGTTTCCTGTCCCCACCCCCAAGTCTCGGTGTGGACGACGGCACAGTGGCTCAGAGCCCAGGGCGGCAAGCAGGGACGGAGCAGGCAGAGGGATGGGCACGTCCTCTCTCCAGTGGCAGCAGGGGCCGAGCCACCGCCTCCTAGTGGGAGCAGTCAGCCTGGAGCTCAGGCCCGTCCAGAGGCTAATGAAAACCATCTGGTCCTTAACAACCTTTAGAATACAATGGGGTCAGAAGAGGAATAACAGTCCCTGTGATCTCAGTGACACATCATACAAAACCCCAATGAGCACTTTTGCTTGAGGTGTCACGCTAAATGCTACGCGATCACCCCACGCTTCCCACCCAGTCCTGGGGGCAACCAAGGGCATGACCTCCCATCTCATCCGAGATCCACTGTCCCTCCAATGGAGGGAGTCAGGGTTTAGGGAAATCAAGAAACTTCCTCCACGCACCAAAGTGATACAGAGCCAGGCCACACTCAGCCCTTGCCTGGTTCTAAGGGTAAAGGCCTTCCCTCACGGTCGCGGATGGGGACGCCTACTCTCCTTGCTGCTCAGGGTGACCGAGGACAGCTCCCTGCAGAGGCTTCTTGCTTCCCTTCCTGGCGGCCGGGCCGCCACGTGGTTTATGTGCACAGAGGGGGCTGCTGGGCCTCTCCAGGGCTCTTCACGTCAGAAACACCTGGGAATGTTCTTTCTTTCGTTGAATTTCCAATTTGCATGTAAAGGTGCCGGTTTCCGGAACAAAGAGCAGTCAGGACACTAGGCTGGGCCCCGCCCAGTCATGAGGGCAGCCACGCACAAAGTGGGGTGGGAGGAGAGGTGAGGCCACTGCGGGCTGCTGGGGGGACGGCAGAAGTCCTCTGGGATGGGGAGGGCTGGACCCCTCACAGAGGCCAGGGCAGCATCAGAGAGGTTTCCATCTGGAGAAGCAGATGCCAAGGAGCCGAGGCCACGGGACCCAGCAGCAAACGCAGAAGTGGTGACATGGCTCTCGCCAAGTGCCGGGAAGCAGCCCAAGGACCCCAGCTATGGGGAAGGGCGGGTTTGCACCAGGCCCCGACTGCGGTCATGCTCTGACAGCCCGACACGGGCCACGTGGACTTGAACGTCTGACAGAAGTGCAGAGTGATTTGTGGACGGTGGGGGCCAGAGTGTGCACCGTGCATCGAGACTGAGAGGGGAAGCTGTGGTCCCATCAGGCCCATGTGATTGGGGCTGTCCTGGCAAAGCTGGGCCCACGGTCTCCCTACCCACAGGCTACAGATTACCCCACAAGTGCATCTCAGGTAAAGTGGGAAAAGCGCCTACCCTCTCTGCCTCCATTTCACCTCACAGGGTCTTTGAGAATGAATAAGGATCAGCCTACAGTGCCGTTTTGTAAACTGTAAAGTGTGATATGAATACGAGATTAATAAAGGTATGTGGTGGACATGAGGGCCAGTGTTCTCACCAGGGGCTCGTAGGTGATGAATAAATAAGAACACAGGCAGGGCTTCCCTGGTGGCACAGTGGTTAAGAATCCGCCTGCCAACGCAGGGGAGACGGGTTCTAGCCCTGGTCCGGGAAGATCCCACATGCCGCGGAGCAACTAAGCCCGTGTGCCACAACTACTGAGCCCGCGAGCCACAAGCACTGAGCCCGTGAGCCACAACTACTGAAGCCCGCACGCCTAGAGCCCGTGCTCTGCAACAAGAGAAGCCACTGCAATGAGAAGCCCGTGCACCACAACGAAGAGTAGCCCCTGCTCGCCACAAGGAGAGAAAGCCCGCGCACAGCAACAAAGACCCAACACAGCCAAAAATAAAAACAAATAAATAAATAAATTTATAAAAAAAAAAAAATAAAGGCAGCCTTGACTTGAGGAATCCAGCTCTGGGTCCTCCCTGTGGACAAATGTGGGGCAACGCTTAAGTGACGGAGCCAAAGGCAGATGAAGGATGTCTCTA